GTTGGGAAGAGGAGACAAAAAAGAAGAAAGTAACCTTTAAAGCTAAAATGTCCACTTTGGTTAACTATGTTGTTTAGAAGTGAAGGGACTTTCCTAGGTACCATCAGCTGCAAAATCAGGACTAGAACTCAGGTGTCTTGACTCCTCATGCATTCCCTAAAGCTTAGGAAGGAAAAGTACAAACTCAGGAGCCAGGGCAGGAACCTGTTCTCCAGTGGTTTATCTGAAAAAAGCCAGTTAGAGACTCTCAATTGCCATATTGAAAGTGATTCTCTCTGAAGTGGACTTGGCCATTAACTTAGAGATCTAGGCAAAGACATCATGGTGGGAAATGTTGGGAAAGCAAAAGAGAGGCTAAATTCACTAAACTTTTTCTGGGACAGGTGGGTTGTTCTCAGTTGCTGAAGGAGTCTGAGAAGCCACTACAGACTGGCCTCCCAACAGTGCTGAATGAGAATCAGTCAGGTGGCCCTTTGGGAGGGGACAGCCCATCTGCTGGTGAGTATTTATTTAGAGGTCCTTCCGGGGGGAGGAGGCTGCTGGAGATATATTTGAGGACTCTGTAAAATAGCAATTACCTATTTATTTAAAGTAGGAATTATATGAAGTCCATCTACCCACAGAAACCATATTATATATCAGAGTATGTAGAATCAGGAGTTATAGGATTAGGGGAATTTTATCAAGCTAAAATAACCTGTTGAATTATTCTTAAAAGATATAAAAAAATTATTCAAAAGATATAAAATAAGACATTTATATTCTTAATTTTCAGTTCTCCTTATTCTAGATTTTATGATCTATATTAGGGGCTCTTATTTACATTTTCCCTCGTGCTTTTGAAAATCTTTGTGGGAGAGGAATCTTGTATATTTCTAAGCATTAGTAATTAGTTCCTCTTTCCTATTCAGAAATGGAATCATATCTGAAATCTGAGAGTCTGAATTAGGATAAAATTAGTAAGACATCTAAACTGGAAATAGTCTGGTTTAAGGTTAGGAAGACTTTAAGACTTCATCATGTTCTGGAGGGACAAGTCTTTGTGGATTTAGATTTTGAACTTTGTGTTTTAGGGATTCTCAGATTATGTAAATCTTTGTGGGCAAACCCTGAGAATAATTAGAATTCGGTTCCGGGCCTAATGATGGCTTTAGGGGTGACAGAAACCCATGGTGGCTCTCTGCAATGCCTTGTTTTTCAGAGTTGGATAAGAAGGCAAATCTCCTGAAGTGCGAGTACTGTGGGAAGTACGCCCCCGCAGAGCAGTTTCGTGGCTCTAAGAGGTTCTGCTCCATGACTTGTGCTAAGAGGTAGTGTGGGCACCTGCCTCCTCGTCCCTCAGCACTGGTTTCTCCGTCTGTTACACTCCTTCTCCAGGATCATCTCACAGCTGTTATTTTATGTCTCCCTCTTTGCTTTCATTCTCTTCCCCAAATCAGCTCTTAACATACCAAATCACATTTAGGGCAGCATAGCAAGGAGGTCTATAGTACCTTTCAGGTCCTGTGTATTTTCTGTCCTGTAGGTACAATGTGAGCTGTAGCCACCAGTTCCGGCTGAAGAGGAAAAAAATTAAAGAGTTTCAAGAGGCCAACTATGCTCGAGTTCGCAGGCGTGGGCCCCGTCGCAGCTCCTCTGATATTGCTCGTGCCAAGATCCAGGGCAAGCGCCACCGGGTGAGCTTTTGTTGTAGAGTTGGCTGCCTTTAAAATGGTCCTTTTTCTTCCTCTACAGGGCAGTTCCTTTGCCCAGGTAAAAGGGTGTGCGACCAGAACTCTGCTTTCACATTGATTCCAAGAGAACCTGACCTCCTTTGTCTCACCTGAGTACTGGTTCATGTGTCCATCAATCCTTGCACTGTACTTGAGTAGAGAAAATCTAGGCCAATTGTTAGTACAAAGCGAGAATCAAGGTGTCGCAGTTTATGCTTGAGAGGTACCCGATATTAGACTTCAGGCACTTGCAAATGAAATGCAGATTATTTCACATGTGGTGAGATCATGCCTAGGGTGGTCGGGGAGGGGAGAGGGGAACTCTTGACACTGTTGTTCTTGACCTGTTTTGCTGTTTTCTCTGTAGGGTCAAGAGGACTCTAGCCGGGGTTCAGATAATTCCAGTTATGATGAAGCACTCTCCCCAACATCTCCTGGGCCTTTATCAGTAAGAGCTGGGCATGGAGAACGTGACCTGGGGAACCCCAATACAGTTCCATCTACACCAGAATTACATGGCATCAACCCTGTGTTCCTGTCCAGTAATCCTAGCCGCTGGAGTGTAGAGGAGGTGTATGAGTTTATTGCTTCTCTCCAAGGTACTGAGGGCCTCTCCAGCAGAACTCAGGTCTGCATTTCCCTGGGTTATCCCATGTGGGCCTTTGTAAAAGGGAAAATAATTAACTTTTAAGCAGTAGGGGCTTGAGTATGGTAGTATAGAGGTCCTGCTATTGATACTTAAGTTGCTTGCCTACAGCCTGATTTCCTAACTTCTGGGTTGACATCGTCTTCTTCTACCTTGTCAGCAGTTTTGCAATGTTTGATTTCCATATCTGATTCAGCTGTATTTCTCACCAGTACTTTTTGGATAAAATTTATTTTTTATGCATGATTGACTGTGTCACCCCATGGATAAGACTTTTCAGTGAGAAGGGAATTGGAAACTAAGGCACTATTGTTGCTCTGCTCCCATCAAGGCAGGACTTTTCTTGACTCCAGAGAAGAAAATCACCCTATCCTTCCTACTTGTCTGAATTCTGAGCCCTTAACAAAATGTCATAAAGGCTCTTAACATTGATCTTTTTGCCAGTGTAAAAGAAAACAGGTATTGTTTTTGCTGTATCCCCCTGCCCCCCAAGTTATTTGAATGAAGTTGTTACTGTAGTTGAAAAAACTTACTCCTTTCTTGATCTTGGCTCCTTTTTTTAAAATAGCCAGTTGCTCTAATTTCATTTTGCTTTCAAAGCATGTCATCTCAGAACTCTGGGATTAACCATCGCTAGGCCTCAGTTTCTTCATCTTTAGTTTCCCCCTCCTATCTTCTGGTGCTTTCATGCAGTTTTTCATACATGTTCTCACCATTTCTTTTTAGGCTGCCAAGAGATTGCAGAGGAGTTCCGCTCCCAGGAGATTGATGGACAGGCCCTTTTATTACTTAAGGAAGAACATCTTATGAGTGCCATGAATATCAAGTTGGGCCCTGCCCTCAAGATCTGCGCCAAGATAAATGTCCTCAAGGAGACCTAAGGTGGCCCTCTTGCACAAACCAGCCTAAGGCAGACACTCCCCACTGCCCAGGTTATACCCTGGTACCAGCAGAGACTGCAGGGAAGAGCTGTTCCAATTACGTAACTGTCTGTAGGGGGAATTACTGAGACAGGGAAGACAAGTGCAAGAATTGGTTGCTGGTGCTACATGGTGGCAGCTTTGACATTTTCTCTGGGTTCTACTTTATTTTTTTAAGTCTTTACAATTCTCACCATTTCCACCTACCCTAATACAATCTTTATAAAAGTGGCAGTCTAGAGAACTAGGACTGCTCAGCCTTATCCTGGAGTGGACCATCTAGCCAGGGTCTCAGTTCTCCAAGAGGGGGAATACATAGTATGGTAAGGCAATGAAATGGGTGGGATGTAGATTTGCCTTCCCAATGGGAGAGATAGGGTTTTAGCAAAATCTGATACTCTCCCTCTTCCCTCTGAATTGTCCCACTGTAGCTGTGGCTCAGAGTTTTCTTTGTTGTCACTTACTTAGTATTGAATATTTTCTCCTGCACACATGGCAGGGTCACCAGCCACTGTAGAGACTTGGTCGGCATCTTTCTGACTTGCTGCAGGGACTAAAAGTGTTTGACGGGCACACTTGTGGCTGTTGTCGTTCTTTCTGCATCCCGCTGCTTCCTTCCAATTTATCTGTTATCTTCTACCCTACCTTTCTTTCCAATTCCAACTCTGCTCTGTCCTATAGCTTTATAAAACAGGAGCGTGTGGCGCTGAGGTCAGGAGTATTAAGTACCTGCCTTAGCACTATTCCTTATACAACAAAAATATTAAATATTTTTTTCTTCCTCAGTAAAAGGATGAAAATTGGTCTCAGTTGTCTCTTCCTCCATTCCAGCATCTCTACCCCACTTCTTTCACACAAATGACTAGACCAACATCTTTTTTTTTTTTTAATCGTTGTTTTTGTACAAAAAGAGGTGTAGTTTTTTTTCCTCCCATTTTAAAACACCAGGGTGTGGGGAGGGATGCAAACAAATAACAAAAAAGATGCTTTTATAACATTATTTTCCTTGTTTAGAAAGAAAAAAATTACAATAGTATTGAAAAATCCAAATATGAAATAATTTCATTTTCTTCTCTAAGGCTTATAAAAGGCCCCCTGCCTATTGATTCCATCCCTCTTTTGTGTCCAGTGGAGCCATGTTACTCTTCAATGGCCCAGGGGTTTCACTATTACAGAAAGACCAGCCCTAGGTTTCTGGGCACATGGCCTAAACAGAAAGATGGAAGCATCAGCGGATTAAAAACCTTTCCCCACAGAAATGTTGTGGGCAAGAAGACACTTCCCTGAGCCAGCAGAAGGGACAGGTGCAGCAGCATTCCACACCCAGAGCAGAGGACGGCTGAGCCTTACATGTCCCAATTCTGCTTCCATTCCCTTTCCAGAAGATTGGAAAAAAAAAAGTCAAAACCACATGCCTGTGAAGAAAGTGCAGCGTAGGTTTAATTTCTAACTGGTAGAGGGAAGGAGGAGTAAGAACAGCTCTGCCAGCTTTTACTATAGATAAGAGAAGAAACCCAGCAAGGAGATCCCGCCCCCACAAGGTAAATGGGCTTCCCTTTCCTGGAACCCCCTGTAGCATAAGAGGTCAGTTTCAGTTTTCCTGTCCAATGGACTGGATTTCTGGATTAGGCATTTTGGCTATATGTATGGACAGGCAACTACAGAACTGCAATCCAGGTCCCAATTCCAGCTATAAAGTCACCCCAATACCAACAAACGATGGAATGGTACCTCATAATCCTGTAATTGGGAAATTTCACATTTTTCCTGTCCCAGTCGAGGTGGGAGAAGCAACTCTAGAACATCTCCAGGCTCAGACCAAATGGGAGTACTTGGATTACAACCAAGTAATCACTGCAAAGTAGTTCCAAACAGCAAGAAATTACATCCAGATTCTCATGGAGACTACTGTAGGGTACAGAGTAAAAGCATGAAAGCAATCAAACCTGTATAAATAACGTTTCTTGCTTTTTTTAACTAAAGAAATCCAGTGTCTGAAAAATTTGAGAAAATGTGTTTAAAATAGAAAGGGCCAAGGAGCCTGCCACACCTTTTTGCCCACTATAGCTATCCTACTTGTACCTTCTGATACCAAGAGATAGTGCAGTACCCTCTGTGTTCACAGGCACTCGTATTACCTGTCTTGTAACTGTACCTCTCTAGAGCAAAAACAGAAGATAGGGAACAAAAGGAAGACAGTTCCGCTAGTGAGAAGAGGATGCAAATCAAAAGCAAACTGGAAAGCAAGAGCAATATTAAGGGTGCGATGAGAGACTGGGGTGGAGACTGCTTGAGAAATCTGGCTGAGTATGCTTTGGTTTGGGGGACTGAAGAGGCTGGACATTTAAAGTGCGATCACATTGGTAATAAATGGTCATCCCTTTCTTCCGATTCCTCCCCCAGCTGGTCATCTCCCACACCACGATATGCTGCAGGCACATTTCGGGGTTTAGAACGGCACACAAAGTCACAACCATCCTGTAGGGGAAAAAAGCAAAGGAAGGAAATGATAATTTGGAATATCCAACTTTAGGGTAAGACAAAGTATATTTATGGTCTAAGAATGTAGCAAGAACTGGTTTTCTCCAGGGATAATGAAGAGAAAACCCAAATGATCCAAGGATTAACCTAAATTCAATTAGAGGGAAACAGGAGAAACAGTTTTTTTTTTTTTTTTGTGACCGGTAAGGGGATTGGAACCCTTGGCTTGGTGTTGCCCGCACCGCACTCAGCCAGTGAGCGCACCGGCCATCCCTATATAGGATCCAAACCTGTGGTAGGAGCGCCGCTGCGCTCCCAGCGCTGCACTCTCCCGAGTGAGTCACGGGTTCGGCCCAGAAACAGTTTTTTAATTAGGCCTCACCTCTCTATAGCTAAATCAGATTTAGAAGAGATCTAATAACAGTGTTGATTTTCCAGCCAGGTCTTAGCAAGGCCAGAAACTGACGCTGTGCCACTTACTGCTTTCTACTAGGGCAACCAACTGTCTTGGTTTGCTGGGACTTTTGTGGTTATAGCACCCAAAGTCATGTCCCAGGAAACCACTCAGTCTGAGCAAACCAGGATGGCTGGTCACCCATCCTTGTACATAGGCTACAGACTCAGCCAGCTGCTCTGTTACTTACTGCTACCAGGTTGCCAAGATCCTGCCAGAAGGCTAAGTGAGGAAACTGCTCCATTCCCTTGGCTCCCACCACCAGGCGCTGATATAGGAACCCCCCAATGATATAGATAGCGATCAGTGATGCAAACCTGTAGAGGAAGAAAGACAATTCACTTGAAATTGAGAAAGAGTAAAACAGATACCAAGGAAAACCTCTATATTTGCTGTTAGCTTGTTTCCTAAGCTAAATTCTATGAAAAAGAAAAAAAAAAGAGTAACAATAAATGAACCAGGGGGCTGGTATGTTCCTTAGAAAATCAGAGTGCTGTCAGTCTGAGAAAAGCAACGGCTCAGAAAAAAATGTGACACTGTGTGTGATTCTTACTGACGGCCAAGAATAATCACCGTTAGATGTATGATTACACTTGTCTGGAAGTTCTAAAAATCTTAAGATAGTATTAAAAACTGTCCAGCCCTCCAGTAGGGAAAACAACTTCTCCAAATACACATATTTATTGGGGACTAAACATTAAATCTCATTTTTTTTAACTTGCATAGTTATTTTATAGTCAGATTTTCACACAGTCATCTCCCCCCATTATAGCATAACATACATATGCACATGCAATTTGTACCCATGTACTACCAAGTAGTTATTGACCTCAAAAAAAGAAAGGAAGGCTTGCTCTGATAGGGGAAGAAGAGTACTCACGTCACAAGTAAGATAGAACCCACACTGAGGTGGGAGATCTCTGGGGAACAGGCCAGGCTGCTATCCATCTCAAAGAGGTAGAAACAGTCTTGGACTTTGCCTCGCTCCTCAGACACAGGGTTAAAATTGTCCTGATGATGAAAGGACAGAACACATTTATATGGTAAAGTGTTTTGACTCCTATCCATCAAAAGAAAAAACTTAAAAAACATGTGCTTTCCCCTGGTTCTGAAGCCTATTTTCCATGGAAGATGAGTGTCTGAAACAAGGAAAAAACTGAACTAGTTTTCTCATGTCCATTCCAATGTATTTTGTCCCCTCTGGATTTTCTCTCCCACCTCAGGTCAGTCCTTTCAGTCTCCTCTCTAGACTTGTATACCCCAGAGTGCCTCACCGCTAGGGTGTGTCGATTGCAGGAGATCATCACCAGTGCACGACGCTGCTCCTTGCCACAGTGGTTGTCATATTCATCACCCCCTTTATAGATCAGCATGATCCAATTACCTGAGGAGGGACAAGGAAAATGGAGCTATGGGGAGGAGGAAAAGCACAGGCAGATCTGGATGGTATGGCACAGTGGAATTGAGGAATTCAGTGGAATTAGTTTTAATTAAAATAACCCTCACCACTATGAGTTCTGTATACCAGAAATGCCAAGCCTAAAACCTGCTTCATTACAAAGCTTTGTGTTCCCTTGTTTAAGACAACTGAGACTCAGATATTTATTTAAGAATAATCTTAATTTTCCACATTAAAGGCAGGCAAATGATAGTGAAAAAACAATTATGGTCCATACCTTAACACTGATTGGCATTTTCTGAATACCTGCTAACAGCAAAAGAAGAGGTTCCATACAATTGCTGGGCAGCAGGGAGAAGCCTGTCTAAGATTTAAACTTAGCCACAGATAAATTCAATTTGGGTGACTGTTAAGATTAGAATGCATTCCTCTTCTTTAGCATTCACTGTGTTCAAAGTTCTTTTGCAAAACATCATTGATTAAACAATCATGTGAGGTGAATTAAGATTCCACACTTCCAATTTCGCATATGAGAAAACAAGATCAAAAAAGGTGAAATTTTTCAAAGTTACAGGACTAGTAAATATGATGAGCTGGGTCAAGAACCTAGTTATCCGACTGTATCCTCAAAATATGTTTGTTTGTTTTTTATCAGTTACAGGAGTAAACATCTGCACTGGAAAATTTAGTTATTTATCTGCTTGGAGGGAAGTGGACCATAGGAGCTCACACAGTCCTTTTCAGCAATATGGTTTTACAACTTTTGTGGTGTGTAGCACAAGGCAGTACAGAAATTTCTGTAGGCTGACTAGTTTGTAAAAAAGCTTGGTCTCTTAAAATTGAACTGGCAACATGATTAATTTGATGGGAAATGGTGGTGGTTGGTGTTTTCAAGCCTAGTTTAAAACTCATGAAGTATTTGGGTGAATAAAAGGACTCCAGGCTATAGAATTCTGGATAGATTTTTTTTTTTTGCATACATTTTTCACTAACTTTGATCACATAAATGTCCTAACCCATGGCTCCAGAGAAGCTGTGGAACTAGGAATCCTGTGGTTTATACAGACCACACATAACATGATATACTGAAGTGACTGGGAAAGGCTAAGATATAAAGGATTGTCAGAGGGACTGACTTGAGATCAATTAATGCATCAACAGGGAGGGTCTTACTTCCATTGAAGACATGAGTCTCATTTAGTCTCCCTACGACTGTCTCCTTCCCATTACTTTTGTTGATCTGCACCAGGCCTGCACCGGAGGTGTGGTTGCCAGCTTCCCGGCACACCCTGAATATGTAGATATATGTGTCTGAGCCCTGGCCCACAGTGCTCTCAAAGCTGTGAAAAAAGATGGGGAGAAAGAGGAGAGTTACTGGCTATCAGCCTCAAAAAGAACAGCCTTATCTTTCTTTAACACACACACACCCACCCACCCACCCACCCACCTCAATTTACTTATCTGATGTCATGGCTAAGTGTTGTAATGGTGAATAATATTTGTTGAACTATGAGATATCCATGATATTGGCAGACCATTCTAATTGTTGATGAATGATTAAAATACACCACCCAAGACAGCTAGATATTTCAGATATTTCTAGAATGCCTATTCTAGGCTATGCTAAGTTGTCAGTTACTATTTCCTCCTGAATAAGAGTCTATGTTCGTGGGATGCTCCCTTCTTAAGGATCAGTTTCAGATTTATATATCTTAAGGTTCCTATCACTTTTGATTTCCAATATAGGTCTAAACACGTTTATCTGATACTTCTAAAGTCCTACTATACAGAGGTATCAAATAATGCTTGAATCTGTACAAACTGGTCTCTTGGTCCCAGTCTTGGGAACAGCTACTTTTCTGTGAAAGGTAAGAACTCCTAAAACGTGGGCTGAGAATTTCCTCTGCATCATGAAAGAGAGCAAGGTATCATGGCCAAATATGACCAATATTGCTAAAGTTTAGATTAGAACTGTCTCCCAGGGGGGGTTATTACACATGTATTACCTCTGTAGTAACACTGAAATAAAATCAGTAAAAAGAGGAAAAGACTAATAAAGGTATTTTCTCAAGCCCTTTAAGGTTCTTCTCATTTACCTTTTGTTAAACAGTGGTTTTAGCTTCTTGAGTAGCGCCAACTCTCTCTCTGACTCTTTACCCTTTTCTCCTACCAGGTCGCAGGTTTTTTCTGCCGTTTGCCAGGATTCTCTCACTGTCACAGCCAGGAGTAGCAGCAGGAGCAGTTCGGTCCTCCAACAGCTGTACAAGGGGAACATCCTTTTGGGAGGGAGTGTGTGTTGGGAGGATGGGTAGGATCAGGAGAGAAGGGAAAGAGATAAAGCATGTGAATGTGTAATAAATAAATGGTATTCTGATTATGCAGAAAGCATAGATTCTCTGGCACATGCAACAAACAGTACATTTTAATATCTCTGTGACAAGAGCACTGGTAGCAGGAAACTCATTTATATAAATTTTAGCCTAATTTTTGGTGATCCTTCAGAAGAAACTATGGCAGTAAGAAAAGGGAAAGGGGGAAAGAACAAAAAATAACTACTTAATTATGATAGCCTGGGTGGAGCCACCCTTGCCCTCTTTCCTGTTTGGTGAAAAGATAGATTAAGATAGCTCATCATTCAAAATTTAATACTAGTTCACAAACAGCTTAAACCAGAGGCCCTCCCTCAGAAAAACTTCAAATCACAATTTAAAAAGACACTTGATAAGGTCTAGTTGGAGATCTAGACCTTAACAAAGTTATTAACAAAAACATAAAATAGGGAAAGAAACTTGGATAGTTTGGACCCCAACCTCTCATATCAGGAGTATCTAACAATCTTTGTTCATATTCACCATTACAATGCTGAACTGAGGTAAACATAGCCACAACACCTAAAACCTGGTATTTTATCTACTTTAATGTTTCATCTTCCCTGAAAAATTATTCAATCATTTCACTTATAGGAAGAAAATTCACTAGGTCAAACTGAGTGGTTTGAAGAAGTCTTTCAAAATCCACCTCAGTCTCTACAAGTCACAAATCTCAACATTTCTAGATTTCTACTGCTGTCTTCCTGTACTCCAAATTGATGATAACCCTTGGGAATCCTCCAGCTACTTAATTTAGTAAATCCAACAGACCTATTTCTTGTACTACTCCAGGAAAGGAAACACATGGTTCTATTTTCCAAAACTCCTTTTCTCCAATATATCTTCATACCCAGGACACACTAATTTACCCTTGCAAGAGACTTCACTCTAATCTCCAGTAATAATCCCTTAGGCCATTGCTATTTTTTAAAATTACATAACAGTATCACTAAATTTCCTGATACAGAGATCTAACTTTTTCAGACTTTTCTCACTTATGATTAAATGCTACAAGCCTGGAATTTGAAGTCCTTTAGTTCTTTTTCATGTGGGTCAGCTGACTCCATTACATTTTCAGAACATAAAACATGAAACAGGTAGAATTTAATGGGTATTGATGAGTTTAAAGATGGAAAAATGGAAGCTCCAACCCTGAGCCCTGAATGTATTTTCCCCACTGCCCTAAACAAACTTACATTTGACCTTCTTCTATTTCCCACAATCCACTAGGGCAACAAATGCTTGCCAAGTTGTCTACCTGTACTCCAAATGTCAACTCACTACACTAATATTAATAAAGTGTTTCCACAGAATAATCATAGCCTGCCAATTTAAAGCACCGATGGCAAAACAAAACAAACAAAAAAACACCAAAACCGCAAAATAGGAAAAGTACATGCCTTTGTCCAGGTACTGTTCAAAGCACTTGGCATACGTTAACTAATTAATCCTCACAACAACTCTATGCAGTAAATACAATTATTGTCCCTATTTTACAGGTAAAAAACCTGAGATACAGCTAGCGGAGTGAGCCAGACTGTCTGGCTCCAGAGCTCATGGTCTACTCTTAACTGCTATGCATTTATCTCCTTTCACAGTGGTCTTTTGGGGATAAGAGCAGGCAGCCAAAGCAGTGTTGCAGTGTTTTTTTTTTTTTTTTTGCTTTCTGACAAAGTAAGAAGTAAAGGGGAAGTGACTTCTCACACTGTTGACTGAATAGGAGGTGGAATAAAAAACTCAGACCTCAAACTCCCACCATCCCTAAGTTACCCATTGCTCAACACACAACCAGCTGATTCACCAAAAAGAAACAGGAGATTCCTTTTGTTTCACTGATTTGGCATGCCATTTTCCTTATATTCTCTCAGGACCTAATTAAAAATGTCAACATTCTGCGCCCTCAATATATTCTTCCCCTGCAGAGCAGTTTTCTGGAGGGATGCTCACACGGAATGCTGGGTTCTTTGGCCTCAAAGTTAGTTCCTAATCAGTTAACTGTTGATGATTTCTTTTTCAAAATTAGAACAAAGAATCTCACCAAATTGGGAAGGGATGAAGGACTAAACACCCTGCAGCCAGCATTACCTTAGTTGAACTATCTTTCATTTGCTTATTGGTTCAAAGAGTTAGGATAAAAATAAATTTATATTCTCTTTTTCCTGCTTAAGGTTTGGTTATAAATTTAAGCTACTTGTCTTTGATTCAGTGGTATATGCTCTAAGTGCTCTACCTAGATTATGTTCATTATGTGTGTTCATTAATCCAGAAAAGTAGGTATATATTTTTCCCATTTTAAAGATGCTTACAAAGTTATTAAGTTACTTGCCCTAGATTATACGACTATCAAACGTGTGAAATTACTGGGGTAACTTGGACGATTCATAGCATAAACGTACTTGCTGGAAAACTTCTGATAAACAGGGGCACAATAGTTAGGAAGAGTATGAAATGCGAGGGCTGGGTAATCCCTTTTTAATATGCTACAATTAGATTCTCAAGATGCAAGAATTTGACTAAATACTTTTGAAACAAGGAGTACGATTTTAAGATTTTACAAAATCCCTTCCGATTTTCTTCTTCTATAACGACAGATCTATTTGGCAATGCTAAAAATTCTCCTTTATTGGGGTGGCCAATAACTAAGCCAGGAATTGGGAAGCAGCCTACATCACTAGGCCCCTGTCTTTCGTAGCACTCACGCCCCCACCCTCCCATCCAAAACTTGCCATGGCCATTCCCATTTTTCAATGGAATTTCTACTTTTTTTCCGCTGGCTCTTTTCTGATGTAGCAGCCCTTAGCCCTTTTCTTCAGCAGCCTTCAGGTTTAAAAGAGCAGCCTTAATTGTCTAGAAGGCCCCAAATCGAGAGAACTTGAAAGAGCATCAGAGAAGTAGCTTTATGTCCCAAGAGCGGAAGCTCCCTACAAAGAGGAACACAAGATAATCCCTCGATTAGCCACTCTTCTCCACGTCATACTCACGTCCCCCTCAAAGCACTACCAGGGTTCTAGCAATTCTCGCTCCGTCTCGTGTCCTGACCTTCCACCTGCTTAGAGCCATACCTTCTCCAAATGATGCCACGTTCCTCCCTCCATGATGCAGGCCCAAGCTCCTTCTGCAAGTATCCAGTACCTCCTCGGACGGCCTCCACACCTGGGCACCTTCCTTTCCCTGCCTTCCAAACACCATCAATTCCCTCGAGGGTCCTGGAAGTCCTTTCCCCCTCAGTCCTTCCGGGGGTACGGGCCTTCCCGCCCTCACGCCTTCGCCTCCATTCTGCCCTCGGGCTCCGCAGCCGGATCTCCGGGAAGAACCACGGCCAAGCGAGACTGAGCGACCGACCCGGGCTCCCGTCACAGCCGCCGAGGCGCGAGCGCACCCCAGCCCGCCTCCTCCTCCAGGCCCCCCACACTCACGTGTCACGAGCACAGGGAGCCGCCGAAGCTCAGAGTCCCCCGGTGGATATCTGCCTGGGGCTGGGAGACGGGGCCCGCGAGCGGCCTGCCGCAGACCGCGGTCCCAGAGCCCGTGTCGGAGGCCAGCGTCCTCCCGCGCGCCTCGCTGTGCCCTACTCTGGGAACCGGAAACAGGAAGAGCCAAGAGACTGCTGGGGAACCGCCCCTCCCACTAGAGCCCGCGGCATGTGACCACAGAACCATGTCGCCCCTTTCCCTTTCCCAGTCTCCCTGACCGTCCTAAACGCTGACTGGCCAGTGGCCTAGGGAGTTTAGCTCCGCCCTTCTCCCCTCAACTCCAATCACTACCGACAATGTCAAGTTTAGTGTCACCTTTTCGGGCCGCCTTTCTGCCAATGGACTCTCAGAGTCCCTCCTCTCGGGCCTCTCGGCTCGCGGGCTCCGGTCACGCGCGGTGGCGCGCCAGGCCCCTCCCCGGTAGGTCAGGTTGAAGAGGGCACGTGAGGGCGGGCGGCGGAAGCGGAAATGACGGAAGCGGCCTGGGGCTCAACGGGAGTAGCAGTTCTCACGCCGGGTTGCCTCCTCACGGCCCTTTCCCGATCGCTCGCCGCCTGCGAGAGGCGCTGTCCGGCCGTCTGCCGGCTCGGAGCCTCGTCTCCAACGGTGGCACCTAGAGGACAGTGGAGCGATGGGGTCGTGTGCGTCCGTTCTTAACGACGCCTTTGTTCCTTATTTCCTTTTTCCAGCTTAGTACCTTGGGGTGTATTATTGTTGTTACTGTTATCTTTGTCAGGCCGTGTCATTTCGTGCCATTTTGCTTGATTGATAAACATGCTCTGCAGTCACCTGTGTTCGCTAGAAGTTTCTTCAGCGTCCTCTGCTCGCTCCATCCCGTCCGCGTTTCTGGAGTCCTGGGGAACGAGCAACGCAGCTTTGGGCTTTGATCCTTGCTAAGATCCTTTGCGCTTTCCCTGTGTCGTCTTGGGCACCTGCCGGGAGCCCTACTTGTTCTTAGAGCTCGGTTCCAGTACCACTGCTCTAAGAACTTCCTGGGTTCTCTTTCTTCAGAATGAATCATTTCTCCCACTGGAAGCCCGCCCGTCGCTTCTACCTGACTTCAGCTTCTTTTCACTTTGCTGTGACTCGCAGGTTGCTTTTGTGCGCGCCTCCCTCGGCGCGGATGGGGACTGGAATTTGACTCATGTCTCTTTTCTCATTAGAGCTAAGGCAGTGTTTTGAATCTAATAATAGTGAAAGCTAACAGTTGCATAGCTCTGTGGTGCCCGGCACCTTTTGTAAATGTATTAGACGATTATTCACTTAATCCTCACAGGAACCTTATGAGAAAACATCTTACTCTAACTTTACACATGAATAAATTAAAACAGGTAGAGGCTAAGTGACTTACCCTGGGTTCGACAGCTATCAAGTGATGGAGCCAGTATTCAGACTTAGGCATGTCTCCAGAATCCATGCTCTCAAGCACTACGTCATATGGCTGTATGTCATTCTGCATTTGTTTATTAATTGATGCATTCAGTTCAGGCTAGGTAGTAATCATATTTGGGCCGGGTCTTAGATGTTTCCTCAAGAAGAAAGGAAGTAAAACAAAAGATGATTTTCTTTCTAATAATGAAAGTAATTTGCGATCAGAAAACAGCGAATAGTAAAACAAAAATACATAAACTCATGAAGAGATTGTGTATTTCCTTCATAAATAAGCGTTGTTTCCTTTTTTTTTTTAAAAATTAATATATCAAATATTTCTCCATATCATTATTTTTACAAGTAAGCTTTTTAATAGTTGCATAATACTCAGTTTTATGGATTGCTACTTAACAGCCTGGGCTGGTGGGGACTGGGTCAGAAATAAAGTAGGTTGAAAAACTTGTCTTCTGTGGCCGTGGAAGCAGTGGTGGGCTTCTTTCTTAGGCCTCAGTGTCTAGTCTGGGTGCTTTCTGCATTAGAACTCCCACCTCAGAGAACTCAGCTCTAGGTTGTTGCCTGAGGCCAAAACTGAAATTAGCAATTCTTTTTGAATTTCTGGTCTGCCTCTTTCTAGCCTCAGCATTAATAAGCACACCCCCGACACTATGTCCGTACCCACACTCTTTCCTCATACAAGGTAATTTGTTCACTCTGTTTAGAAAAGAGTTCTAGGAGTGGCATCCTGAAATCAAATGCTAAGAATGCTTCCTGTTCAGTACAGTCAAAAGAGGGGAAGGTGCCTGAGAGATCTAGGTATTCTGAAGGCTTCCTTCAATAAGATGTGCTCTTCGTTTGTGTTCTTTGACTCTGAGCTGTGAGCTTTGTTGGAATGGCTTCTTTAACCTCTCCAGATCTTTCCTCTGTATGACCTGTGTGTTAACAGATTTTGCTTTGGTTTCACTGTCAAACACATCCTACCTGCTCATTTCTGGTCTGCTCAGGTAAAAGAGGACTCTCTTATACAGAAGTAGCAACTACAAAAAGGAACTACTACCTTTAAGGTTAAAGAAGAGTTAATAAGGAGGTTTTAAGTTTACCTTAAAAACTTCAAGGTAATGCTTCTTTCCCCAACCATAAAAGTTAGAGGTTCAGACCTCTGAGGAGAGGGTGTGGTTCCTGCCACAGAAACCTGCAGCCCACTGATGGAGGCAGAGAAATTGCTGGAGGGTGTGGGCCACTGTTTAACAGCAAATAAGAGCCTCTTTATGGTGCCTCCCTTATCCTTTTGACATGTACACATCATTTTTTGAGGAAGTCTATACTTTCAGGCACATAAGAGGTTCCATGTTTATCTTGTAGGTTTTTTTTTTTTTTTGGATGACTGGTCAGTACCTGAACCTTTGACCTTGATGTTACAAGGCCATGCTCTAATCAACTGAACTAACCGCTAACCCCTGTCTTGTACTTTTCAACATGGATGAACCTCTACGACATTATGCTAAGTGAAATAAGCCAGGCACAGTAAGAAAAATACTGCATGATCTTGCTTGCATATGGAATCTTAAAAAAAAAAATCTTGAAAAAAAATGATCAAATACATAGAAAACAGAGTAGAAAGGTAGTTGGGGAATGGAAGATGTAGGACAAAGGGTATAAAGTTGCAATTATGTAGGATGAGTAAGTCTTGATTTTAACATACAACATGAGGACTGTGGTAAATAATATTGTATACTGGTAATTTGCCAAGAGAGTGGATTTTAGGTACTCTTACCATCAAAAAATAAATACAAGAAAGGTAACTGCATGAAATGATGGACATGTTCATATGCTTGACTGTAGTAATCAATTTACTATGTATATCAAAAAACATCATGTTGTGTATCTCAAATATATACAATAATTTTTTTTAAATTTCGTACTTTTCTTATAAGAAAAGCCATTTCTCCAAGGGTTCTGGTTCTTTTAGTGGAGAATCATATTTAGAAACCAAGATCTGATTACAAGTTGTGTTTATTGCTACTCGTGTGTCATTGCTTTAGGCCTTCCAAGTAGACAGAGTTAGGGAATCTATAATTTTCAAGAGTGAAGCAGGTTCCCATTATATTCAGTACACAGGGGTCTTCAAAAAGTTACTGGAAAGATTTGTATTATCTTTGAATTCTGTTTTTCTACAAACTTTTTGAAGTACCCTTATACATTTGTTCACACATAAGAAAAGATAGGAAGTAGTTATTTAACTGATAAAACATACAATTGTGTAAAGCAAGCCTACTAATTAGAGTTCAATATATGTTTAAAGTTTTATTTTTTAATTTTGAGGTAAAATTTATAAATCATGAAATGTACAACTCTGAAGTATACAACTCATTGAATATTGTCAAATGCGTCATAACAGTTACCACTCTGTAACCAAGATTTAGAAGATTTTTATCACCCAAGAAAATTTTCTCAAGCTCCTTTTTAGTCATTTATTCCGGCCCTAGAGGCAACTATTGCTCTGAACTTTTCACCACAGATAAGTTTTGCTTATTCTAGAACTTCATATAGATTGAATCATGTACTATGTACCTTTTGCATTTGTTCGGTATTTTTCACTCAACATAATATCTGTGAAATTCTGTTCTTGCATGTGTCAGTATCAGGTTTTTGGTTTTGTTTTGATTTTTGGTTTAGTGGTATTGTATGAATATTCTTCAACTTATTTATCCATTCTTCCTTTAATGGGCCTTTGTGTTGTATCTGTGTTTTCTTCTAAGAAGCCATATACAGTAGTCCCTCCATATCTGCAATTTCAGTTACCCGTGTTTAACTGCAGTTCAAACATATTAAATGGAAAATTCCAGAAATAAACAATTTGTAAGTTTTAAATTGCTAGCCATTCTGAGTGCTGTGATGAAATCTCTCACCATCCTACTCAGTGTCATTCAGAATGTGAGTCATCCCTTTGTCCAATGTACCCACGCTGCATACGCTCCTAGTCACTTAATAGTAGTCTAGGTTATTAGATCAACTGTTGTGGTATTGCAAAGTATTGTGGTATTTTTCAAAGTAACCCTTATTTTACTTAATAATCACCGCAAAGCACAAGAGTATTTATGCTGGCAATTTGGATATGCCAAAGAGAAGCTTAAAGTGCTTAAGTGTAAGAGTGAACATTCTGGACTTAATAAAGAAAAAAGTTGTATGCTGAGGTTGCTAAGATCTACAGTAAGAACGAGTTTTCTGTTAGGTTGTGAAGAAAGAAGAAGAAATTCACGCTAGTTTTGCTGTTGCATCTCAAACTACAAAAGTTCCGGCCACAGTGTGTGATAATAAGTGCTTAGTTAAATTAAATTGGGGTGGAGGATGTGAACAGAAAAGTGTTCCTATTGACAGCGATCGAATTTGGTACTCTCTGTGGTTTCAGGCATAGCTGGGGGTCTGCGGAAGTCTCCCCCGCTGGTAAGGGGGAACCACTGTAGTTTTATCGCTTATGATTATGTCAGTAATCTATTTTGAGTTAACTTTTGTGTATGGTTGAGGTAGGGTTTAGGCTTGGCTTTTTTCCCACTTGTATACAGTTCTTTCAGTAACATTTGCTGACTTTTCTTTCTTAATTGCTTTGGAGCTTTGTTGGAAATCAGTTGTATCAAGGTAGTTCTATTTCTGGACCTAATTCTGTTCCATTGATGTCTTTGTTAATTATTATGCTAGTGAATCCTAATTCCTGAATAGGGTTCAACTCTATTTCTTTAGGCCTTATTTAATTTCTTTCAGCAACCTTTTATAGTTTTTTAGTGTAGAGGTCTTACATGTGTTTTGTTATGTTTATTCCCAAGTGCTTTATTTTCTGATGCTTTTTAAATGAAATTATTGTGAAAAATTAATATTATACATGTTTGTTGGTACTATATAGAAATAAAATTGATTTTTGTGTTTTTAAAAATCCTTGTGATAGTATCCTGTAACCTTGCTAAATTTACTTATTTTGGTAGTTGCTTTGTAGATTCATCCGAATTTTATATATAGACAATAAGGTCTGCTAGTTTAATTTCCTTCTTTCAGACTTCTGCCTCTGGTCATGAAGGTATAACTGGTACTAGATTTATTCTACCTTAAACAAGTAAAAACCTGGGAGAATATATGAAGCAATGGTTTTCTGATATTGGATAACAGGCAGCACAGGACAGTGATTCCTTAGAGAAGGAACATAAATAGGGTGAGCCCCACAGTTCCTCCTGCTTACTCCATGGAGAGAATATCCAGGGTGTGGTAAAGAAGGGAGGAACCAAAACAGAGCCTGGCAGTTTCACTGGGCTTAGAAGAGAGAGTTTGGAGTTTGAGAAGACTGTCAGCTAAAATTTGTGGGTCAGAGTACTGCAGAGAAAAGAGACGCACAGAGAGTCAGCTTTAGATAACTATAGAGGAACCGGCTCAAGCCTTTGGTTGAGTACTGAGCTGAACCACTGCAAAGGAGAAGGCAGGACAACCCCCACATTTCACACAGGCCTGGGAATTGTCGGTGTTTTCACCTGCCAAAGTGGAAAGATCTCCCAGTATATAGAATTTTAGGTAACGTTCTAAGATTTTTGCCTCAGCAGTGGGTCCAAATTAGCCCTAAGCTTATATAAAGCCCTAATATGCAGACACACTGGTTACACAGCATCCATCTAGCCCTTACCATGCTGCTCCTGTGAGAGTCGGGAGGCAAGAAAAACCAATGCCAAGATGAATCTTATGTTGCTTGTTGTGCTGTGAATAATAATACCCTTTGCTTTTGACCCAGGAATTTTGTGTCTTCAGCTAATAGCCATGAAACTTGGCAGATTAGTGTGTTAGCTCGGAAGTAGCATAAAATCTCTGACTCTTCACAATTCCAGAGGGGGGGAAAAAAAAAGAGCCTCAAAAGGATCAAACTGATACCAAGTAACTTCAGTATGTTCTGTACAAAAGCCAAAAATTTTAAAAAGAACACAGCAAAATCGGCACGCAACAGCATACAATTTACGATGTCTGGCATCTAATAAAAAAATGGCTGGGCATGCAGAGAAGGAGAAAATATGACAT